ATACATGAATGCCTTCCTCATCCAACTGGAGCCTTAATGCCTCCCGTTGTACCTTCTCCTTGCATGGACACCCTCCTTACCTATTTGATCTCTTCTCTCATACGCCATACATGGCTGCTCCTTCATGTCAACACACCCCTTAACTGTTTGGTCTTTGATGCCTGGATGCTAGGCCTTTCTAGTGGCTCTGACACCTCATGCAAAGTTGCAGCCCTGCAAGGATGGCTCTTTTACTCTGCTTGGGCTTTCATGTCCTTGGTTAAGTTTATTTCTAGGTATGTTTTTCTTTTGGATGTTATTATAAATGAAATTGTTTATATAATTTCCTTTTGGATTGTTCATTGCTGGCGTATGAAAACACAACTGATTCTTGTGTGTTGATCTTGTACCCTGCAACTTTGCTAATAAATTTAGTCATTGGCTCTAGTAGCTTTTCTGTGGATTCTTTAATACTTTATATATAGAAGGTCATGACATCTGTGAATAGAGATGCTTTTACTTCTTTCTTTCCAATTTGGATGCCTTTATTTTTCTTGCCTAATTGCTCTAACTAGAACTTCTAGCTCTAGGTAGAACTTCTAGCACAGTGATGAACAGCAGTGGTGAATGTTGACATCCTTGTCTTATTCCTGATTAGTATGTTAGCTGTAGTTTTTTTCATAACTTTGTTATTCTTAATAGCAGCATGGTGTTATGTCTGGTACATATAGCATAGTTTATTTAATTGATCCTTTATTTCTACACTAAGTATTTTCTGATACTTTGCTATTACTAATAATAGTGCTCCAGTGAATAATATTGTACATTTGCCATTTTATATGTTTCTACAGTCTAAATTCCCAGAAGTGGGGATTACTTTCTCTTTATTTTTTTTATTCTAAGGTGACCAGGTCCTGTCTTTAGCTCCAGATTAAGTAGAAAATTTCTGTGGAATAAAATGAGTATTATTAGATGATTCAGGCAGCAGAACATGAGTGTTGTGGCTATTGGAGGTGGTAGAGGTAATGTTCTAGAAGAATAAAGCTGCTAGTATCATCCAGGTTATTTGGGAGAGTCACTCCTGAGGAGGAATATAGTAGTTCATGGTGAGCCAGTGCTTCCACTGAGAACAATCAGGGAAATCAGGTAAATTCCAGGAACTAGTCATTTTAATATTATCAAAGAGCTACAGAAGCAACTAGAACAAAATAATGAAAGTTATAGAAATGAGAGAAAACCTTCAGAAGTTAGCTGATGCTTTGTAGCTGTGTTTCCCTGAAAAAAAGTAACTGAGAATCTAGGTTTCACTCAGGCTGAGCAGTACTGCTGGGGGACAGTAGAGCTTTTGGTGGTCACACAGGACTGGAATGACAAAACTCAACTAGGCTCTCAAGTGAAAGCCCAGGAGGGACATTCCTTAGATTCAGTGGGTAACCAGAGGTAGACTGATTCTTACCAAAACTACAACCCATCCTTGAGCCAAAGTAGTTTGATTGGATTAAAGTGATCAGCCTCTGCCATAGCAGAACAAAGGTTGAACACACATTCTTTATGGAAGATAAACTTTTTTGGTGCCTTTTTGATTCTTTTTTTTTTTTTTTAATTGAAGTACAGTTAATTTACAATGTTGTGTTAATTACAGGTATACAGCAAAGTGATTAAGTTATACATTTATATTTTTTTCAGATTCTTTTTTCCTGTAGGTTATTACAAAATATTGAGTATAGTTCCCTGTGCTATGCAGTAGATCCTTGTTGGTTATCTGTTTTATATATAATAATGTGTATATGTTAATCCTAAACTCCTAATTTATCCCTCTCCCCCTTCATGATTCTTTTATATGCAGTGCGTAGTATTCAGTACATTACTAGTCCTGTGATGGCAGAGAAATTTATGGTCAACTAAGAGAAAAATAATTTCAGAAGCAGACTCTCAGGTGATCCCACTATTGGAGTTAGTAGATAAGGACTTTAAAATAATTAAGATTAATAACTTAACCACAGTGATATATCACTCACGCCCACTAGGATGGCTAAAATTAAAAAGACATTAACAAGTGTTGGTGAAGATGTGGAGAGAGATTGGGATCATTATAGTTGGTACACAGCTACTGTGGTAACACTTTTGTAGTTCCTCAAGAAGTTTAACATAAAGTTAACATGTGACCCATCAGCTCCACTCCTGGGTATATACCCAAAAGAAATGAAAACATATATCTACTCAAAAACTTGTACATAAATGTTCATAGCAGCATTATTCTTAATAGCCAAAAAATGGAAACAACCCAAATGTCCATTATCTGATGATGAATAAGCAAAATGCGGTATATCTATGCGATGGAATTTTATTTAGTCATAAAAGGAACGAAATTCTGATACATGCTACAGCTTGAATGAAACCTTGAGATGTGAAATAAGCCAGACACAAAAGGACAAATTTTTTATGATTACACTTATATGAAGTATCTAGGATAGGCAAATTTATTGATACAGAAAAGTAGAATAGACGTTACCAGGAACTGGGGATAGGAGGGAATGGAAGGTTATTGTTTAATGAGTACAGGGTTTCTGTTTAGGATAATGAATAAGTTCTGGACATAGATAGTGATGATATTTGCAGAACATTGTGAATGTACTTAAGGCCACTGAATTGTACACTTAAAATGGCTAATATGCTAAATCTTTTGACCATGATAAAAGGATAATTTTTTTGAAGGAATGAATGGATATGTGCTATGATCTGGATGATTAATAAAAACATTATGCTAAGTAAGAGATACCAGTCACAAAAGGTCACATATTGTATGCTTCCATTTATATGAGATGTCCAGAATAAGGAAATCCATAGAGACAGAAAGTCGATTAGTTATAACTAGGGACTGGGAGGGAGGGATAGCTGGAAAATGAGATTTGACTACTAATGAGTATGGGGTTTGTTTTTGGGGTAATGAAAATGTTTAAAATTTTCTTTTGATGATAGTTGTACAACCTTGTGAATATACTTTAAAGAAACATTGAATTACACACTTCAGATGGATAAATTGTATGGTATGTGAATTATACCTCAGTAATCTTAAATAGATCATGAATAATAATGAGTAAGTAATACATATTAATAGACAAATAGGTGGAAATTGTTACCTGAGAAAAGGTAAAATATCTATAGCGATATGTAATTGGAATCATAGAGAAAGGAAAAGGAGGCATGAGCTATTGACCAAAATTTTTCCAAATTGCCAAAAGATGCCAACTTCTGTATTCAAGCAACTCTTTGAATCTCAAGCGTGATAACTACAAATTAAACCATTCCTAGGTACATCATAGTAAAACAGCTAAAAACTGGAAAAAAACAAAACACAAAAAGCCAGAGATCGGGGGAATGACACAATACCAAAGAAACAACAATAAAAGACTGAAAACTGTCTTCTCAACCTGTTGAATTGGAGGAAGGGAGATAGACCACTGCAGTTATTACAGCAGTTCATATAGAAGCTAGGTATTGGCAATGTGAATAGATTGGAGGAGATGGATAGATTCTTATGAAGTAAGTTAGTGGTCTTTAGACTTGCTATATCTACCTCGAGGGATACAGAAAGAATTCCCAAGAGTATGCCAGTGTAGATACTTTTAAGGAAATCACTTTCTAAATCCTCAATTTCCACATCTACTTTTTTCTGAAATTGAACCCTCTGGTGGAAGTATTGCAGTTTCTCCTTTCACTTCTCCTTTCCAGAATTACTCTTCCCTATTTTGTAAAGAAAGGCATATCTCTTTTCATTCTTACTATGGTATGTGCCTTGAATTGTAAAATGCCTCCAAGTCGTTTAAGAAAGGAATATTTTGAAATATTGGTATTGTTGTACAGAAAATGAATTTCTAATGACTAGATGTTATATCCTTTTGCAAAATGGTTTCTAATTATTTGCTTTCAACACAATTGATGGCTAATTTGATCCATTATTAAAAAATAACTTTTTTTGTTAGATCAGTATATGTTTTTTTAGCAAATAACTCAGGAGGTGCTCAATGAATTGAGTAACATTATAAGAAAAACTTCTTCTAGTCCTATCTATAATAAGATTTTTTAGGTAAAAGACATAAATTTATAAATACAAAAAGTAGAAGTAAAATTGATGATTTCCTGCATTCATAATTGGGAGGGGAAAAAAGTTTCATCCACTTCATAGACAAAATTTTACATATGCATATGTTTTATACACACACAATATAATTATGTTGTTTTGTTAAGTCGTGTACTTATAATAATTTGGACAACTCATTTCTGATAACAGTTGAATTTTATACATAAAAAGTTTTAAAATGTTGAATTTAAATTTATTTACATATATAGTTTAGAGAAGTGTGATAAAGAATAAATGAAAGACTTTCAAACATAAAATACGATACACTCGTTTTAAAGTTTTGTTAGGAAAGTGAAATAGAGATGTAAGTTCATTGTTTAAGGAAAGTTTGTTTACAGTTGTTTTTAATGAAGGATGATATATATCATATCACTGTGAAATTTAGGTTACATTGGATATGTCTCAAAGAGTGAAGTAACAGTTTTAACATAAATTGATTGATGTTCTGAATCAGATCGTGAAAAACGGGAGAATGCTACCTGTGTGACATCTTGCAAATAAATCGAACACTGAGTGCTTTAAAAAAAAAAGTTTTAAATGTTAACTTATAAATATGCAAGGATTTACACAGTTTTTCAAAACTATTTTAGAAGCATCTTAATAAAACCTTTTAAAGATCATTGGCAAAGCTGCCACTAGAGTGAGGCAAGGTGGCACATAGGTTACAAAATACAAGGAGGTCTCACTCTCAGTGTTCTCCAAGTGCACTCATGGGAACCTAAGAGGGAGTGCCTCCTTAAACTATGCACCCTAGATGTAGACTTGCTTACCCTAGTCCCATTGGATCTATACAACATAAGAAATCTGTGAAAAATTGGCTTTAGAAAAAATATTTGCAGATGCAGTCATTTTCATCAACTGCTTTTAATTTGTTTTTTAGGGTGGGATTAAAAACTCAGCCTGAATCAAAATGCCCTGAGCTGCTTGCCAATTACTGTGACATGTTGCTAAGAAAAACGCCATTAAGCAAAAAACTAACCTCTGAAGAGATTGAAGCAAAGCTTAAAGAAGTGGTACATAAAATTTTTTTAACTTGAAATTTTAAAATTATCTTTGAATTTGTGTTTTGCTTATAAGGCTTTCTGCGATAGCCTCAGTTTTTTTTTTTTAACGTATATCTCTAAGCAACTAATATTATGAAATTTTACCAGTGCAAGATCTCTATAGAGCAGTTATTTTTCTTACTGACAATTTTTATTCTGTAGCTGCCAGAAAGGGAAATAGTATTTAATTCTTCCCCTTTCTTGATTATTTTTAAAAGTCAGTTAAATTCTAGCTTGTATTAAAGGACAAAAAAAGGGAAAATGGAGCTAGCTGGTGGTATTTGGAATGATATTTGAGAGACCAAGAGTTTTTCACTTCTTTCTTTTTGTGAGAGCCCAAAATAGATAGCCAGGGATAAATGAGTGTAGATAAAAAGTTAGTTGCTTTCATATTTATTTGTCTCTGCTTGTTATTGTAATATGATATAAGCCAAGGACATCATACCAAAGAGGAAAAAATTAGTAAGTAAAGATATAGAGAAAGTATAGACAAAGAGGGTTAGAGGGGGGAGTTCCATGGCAGTCCAGTGGTTAAGACTGCTTTCACTGCTGGGCCCAGGTTCAATCCCTGGTCAGGGAACTAAGATCCCATAAGCTGCATGGCGCAGCCAGCAAAGCGGGGGGGTGGAGTGGGGGGTGGTTAGAGAGAAGATTAGTGTTAGAATAAAGTGAAGAAGAAATGTAGAAGAAAAAAATGGGGAAGAACCATTGATTTTCATGTAAAGTTTTATCACATTTTATATTAAATCTCAAAACTTAATGTTTCTAAGAATTAAAAGGTTATTTGGTTACAGTCTCAAATTTGCTAACTTTTAAAGTATTAAAGTATTGTAGTATTTCAGGACTGGTTATTTTTCAGAGATGGGCAATTTACTAAACCTCTCTCTGTATTTGATTATATAAATTTCTGAATTTTGACAATTGGGGATGTAGAAAGGTCTAAATGAGAGGGATGGCTAAGAATGTATGTAAATTGAAAGTAACTTTTTTTTCTGTACAGCTCTTGGTACTTAAATATGTACAAAACAAAGACGTTTTTATGAGATATCACAAAGCTCATTTGACACGACGTCTTATATTAGACATCTCTGCTGATAGTGAAATTGAAGAGAATATGGTAGAGTGGCTAAGAGTAAGTAAAATTTTAAAAAATATTTGCTTTTCTTAAAATAGCACATGGTTCATATGTGTGCTTAAGTAATGCATTTTGTTGATATTGTTAATATTGAAGAAATATGGAACGTTTTAGAAGAATATAGCATCAATTATATAAAATAAAGTATATTTTCTTAATGAAGACTTCTGGTGAAGCACCTTTGCTCTTGCTTTGCTTCTGTTGTTTCACTCTTTTGTATCTCTGCTCTCATTTGAACTGACCTTAACTAACGGACAAATCGTTTCATTTTTAAGATGTTTTTAGTACTAAATATTTAACCATAGAGATGTTTGTAAATAAATACATCTATTAAGGAAAAAGAACAAATAGGTAAAAGTTGATGGCTTATTTAGGTTAATCAATGCTAATTATGGCTAAATTCCCATGTTAAAATATTTTACGTCTGTTCCTTTCCGTCCATTTTAATGGAATTTGAGTTATATCAGTATAGCATAAATGAATGTCTTTCATTTATACATATGGTGTTATATATAATACTACATTAATATATGATAATAAAATATCTATTATAATGTGTATAATTATATGTATTTTATATATATATTTTTCATTTATATGTGTATTTCAAATTAAAGATTTGCAGATAGCCCTGTTTTGCCTGGTAGTGTGGGATAGTAAAAATTACTGTTCAGGTGATCTTAATATTAACAATCACTGGGAAATTACTGCTTTGTGACTTTGAAATTTTTGTCAAAATATTAAAAACCTCTTATTATCTAAGTATATAGGAGAAAGAAAAAATTAGTAAAATTAATATGTATTTAGTACACTGTAATTTAAAACAGACTTTCAGATTTAAAGTGTATTTCTTTGAAAAAACTGCTATTGCAGTTCACATGTCTGATATTGTATCTAGAATATATAAAGAACTCTTACAACTCAACAGTAAAGACAACTCAGTTAAAAATGGGCAAAGAGGGGCTTCCCTGGTGGCGCAGTGGTTGAGAGTCCGCCTGCCGATGCAGGGAACACGGGTTCATGCCCCGGTCCGGGAAGATCACACATGCCGCAGAGCGGCTGGGCCCGTGAGCCATGGCCGCTGAGCCTGCGCGTCCGGAGCCTGTGCTCCGCAACAGGAGAGGCCACAGCAGTGAGAGGCCCGTGTACCCAAAAAAAAAAAAGGGCAAAGAATTCGAATAGACATTTCTTCACAAAAGATATATAAATGTCCAATAAGTGTATGCAAAGATGCTCAACATCATTAGTTATTAGGGAAATGCAAATTAAAACCACTGGGATAGCTGAAAATTCAGACAATAACAGATGTTGGTGAGGAAGAGGAGAAATTGGAACCCTCATGCATTGCTGGTAGGAATATAAAATGGTGCAGCCACTTTGGAAAACTGACGGTTCCTCAAAAAGTTAAACATAAAGTTGACCCAGCAGTTCTACTAGGTAATTCCACTCAAGAGAAGTGAAAACATAATGAGCACACAAAAAATTGTACATGAATGTTCACAGCAGCATTATTCATAATAGCCTAATAGTGAAAATAACCCAGAAGGTCAGTCAGCTGATAGATAAAATATGGTTTATTCATATAACGGAATGTTTCTGGTAATAAAAATAAATGAAGTGCTGATATATGCAACCATATAGATGTACTTTGAAAATATTATGCTAATAAGCAAAGAAGCCAGTTAGACCACATACTATATGATTCCCTAATACAAAGTGTCCACAGTAGCCAAATCTGTAGAGACAAAAAATAAATTAGTGGTTTTCAGGAATGGAGGAGTGGGGGAACATGGGGAGTGACTGCTAGTAAGTATGGAGTTTCTTTTGGGGATGATGAAAATGTTCTAAAGTTAGATAGTGGTGATGGTTGCATAACTCTGTAAATATACTGAAACCTGATTAATTGTACACTTTAAAAGGGCAAATTTTGAGGTACGTGATTTATATCTCAACACTGTTACTAAAATGAAGAGTAGTTTGACTAGTACTTGCCTTCTTGTCATGTAACTTACAAGTTACTTAGTGAGCACCTTTGGTATACTTTGAAGAGTTCTCATGCTCTGTAAGTTTGGATCAGCTTCCAAACTTTTGTCTTTTGGTCTTTCAAAGTCGTCAAGAGTTTTTGCTGGCATCACTTCCTCTTCTTAAGTTTTTTGTCACTACCACTTTTCTCATTTATGTTGATAATTTGCCTTCATTAAGTTCCTTGTACCTGCATGTTTAGACTCTTCAGCATTGGCATTATCAACAAACATTACAACCACAGTTAGCTCTTTCTTCAGAAACTCCATTTATGTTCTATTTTATTTTCATTTCCAACATTATTCCCTTCCTTCCTTCCTTCCTTCCTTCCTGCCTCCCTCCCTCCCTTCCTTTTCTTTCCTTTCCTTTTCTTCTTCTTCTTCTTTTTTTTTTTTTGGTGTACTTTTATCATCTTTCTTGACCAATATCTCTTTCAGTTATCCGTTTTTGTAAAATGTCATGTGGATTTATCAGTGGAAGACATGGATGCAACAAAGCTACATGCTTTGCTGTCTGTGGGTGAACTGAATAAACAGATGACTAACAGATTTTGAAAGAAATATTGTGATTGGTCAATGATGTGATGTGCTTTGTTAGTGATTTGTAGATTGAGGAGCTAGAAGTGAAATTTGTGCTTTATGCATAACTCACATTTAATATATAATGGTAATTGAAAGTTGAACAGTGTTGTTGGGGTACTGGTGTTCTTTTAACTGTACTGTGGTAATTGAAATTCATGCATATTGGAATCATGCACAGAAAGCCAGGATTGCCTGTATATTCTGTTTAGGTTCTAAGAATCAAATTTAATAGGTATTAGATTATAAACATTCTATAAATATAAGAGAGAAGAAGAATTTTGTATTAAATCATCTAAAACTTAGTTTTCCATTAAAATTTTTCCTAATAGTATATCAGATTATTTATTATTTATTACTTCTTCTGTCTTTCGTTTTCATAGGAAGTTGGTATGCCAGCAGATTATGTAAACAAGCTTGCTAGAATGTTTCAGGACATTAAAGTATCTGAAGATTTGAACCAAGCTTTTAAGGAAATGCACAAAAATAATAAATTGGCTTTACCAGGTATTATTTTATAATTACATACATTTTTTTAAACATTTTACAAAAGAATATCTTTGTTTTCTAGTAAATTAAAAATAAAACTAAGCAGTAATAGAGACAAAGATGTTAAAAAGTCCACATTCCTTGAAAATATCCTACAAAGCAGAATTTAGATTTACTATTATTTTGAAACAGAAAGACACTTTTAACAAAATCTTTAGAGTCTTATTTTTCACCAAAGCTTATCCTCTGTGTATGTATTTTACCCATTGTCAAGATTATTTGCTTTATATTTTCTGATATACTTTCCTATAGCTGATTCAGTTAATATAAAAATTCTGAATGCTGGTGCCTGGTCAAGAAGCTCTGAAAAAGTCTTTGTCTCACTTCCTACTGAACTGGAGGATTTGATACCCGAAGTAGAAGAATTCTACAAAAAAAACCATAGTGGTAGAAAATTACATTGGCATCATCTCATGTCAAATGGAATTGTAAGTAGATGGTGTGTTAGTTCAGATATTGGTTTGGCTGAAAGTAGCAGGACTCCAAATAAGATTTGTTTAAACAAGATAGATCTTTCCTTCTCTCACAAGTGAAAGTTTGAGCAGGTATAGTAGATCTGTTCCATGAAGTTGTTAGGGACATAGACTTCTGGTTACAGCACCATCCTTAAGGTATTCCCTTGCCTGCAGAATCCAGTATGATGCTCTCACTATGTCTGTCTTCCAGCCCAACAGGAAGGGAAAGATGTGAGGGTATAGCTTCCTTGAACGGCAACTTCTAGAAGTTTCCCCCATTATTTCCACTCAAATCTCATTGGCCAGAACTTAGTTACATGGCCACATTTTTGCTCAGGAAAGCTGGGAGGTGAGCCTTTATTCTGGACAGTCATTAAAGTCTGCTAAAATTTTTATTACCATGTAAGAAAGGAAGAATGGATATTGAAAGACAGCTTGCAGTCATTTTGTATATAATCTCATATAAGAGATATTATAGTAGATAGATAGTAATCATCATGAAGAGATTCTTATTTTTTTAACTATTTTATCTATTATAGATAACATTTAAGAATGAAGTAGGTCAATATGATTTGGAGGTAACAACATTTCAGCTGGCTGTATTGTTTGCATGGAACCAAAGACCCAGAGAGAAAATCAGCTTTGAAAATCTAAAACTTGCAACTGAACTCCCTGATGCTGAGCTTAGAAGAACTTTATGGGTTGGTTTGTTTTTATGTTTTTTGTTTTTAACATTGCATCCTCTCACATAGCAGGAAACATGTGTTGGCTTGTGTTATAATAAATTTATGAATTCATAACACTCAAATGACTTTTAAGCAAGAAAAATACACTAGTGAGGTATTTATGGAAAAAAAAATTGAAAATAAGCAAGTTACTAAGAGAATGGCAAAAGAGAGAGAAAGAAAGAGATTGAGTTGGTGTTTAAATTTTGCCTGTGAAGAGCATGACCAAAGATTTCATATTGAAAATGTGTTCAAAGTTTTTTATGATAACCAAAATTCTAAGAATAAGAAGACTTTGGTCCTTTTGAGGCCCTGTAAAATGTACTTATTAGCCTTCTCTTCAAAACTACATTTTACCCCCTACTCCATATGCCTGTTAAAAGTTCCAAAATAAATTATTACCTAGAGAGAAACAGCTGGTTTATAACCGGCAATGATGTTTGCTGTGGTCATATATGACCAATCCCTCTAGTTTGTTGTTGTTGTGTTTTTTTCATTGTCTTATTGTAAAGAGAGCGTTTATTGCTTCCTCATAACCAACTCTTTTCTCCTCATTCTCTTTCCTCATTATGCATTTACATTGTTATATTCATGGAAGTACCAAATAAAATTTTGAATTATTAATTTGTGCTCATAATTTTTTCTCACCTATATTGGTCATGTTGTAAAATTGATCTTGGTATTCTGTAGTGTTTATAGAAGCTAATTGTTTTCTCTTTATTCTTCATAGTCTTTAGTAGCTTTCCCAAAGCTCAAACGGCAAGTTTTATTGTATGAACCTCAAGTCAACTCACCCAAAGACTTTACAGAAGGTACCCTCTTCTCAGTGAACCAGGAGTTCAGTTTAATGTAAGGTTTATGTTGATTGATCTAAAATAAAAATACCTTGTTTGAATTTTAATATTTTATTTTTAGCAAAATAATTTTCCTTACATGATATTTAAAACATCTGTATGCTGTCATCACTTTAGATTTATGCCATTTAGTTGTTTATTAAACATATTAATGAACTAGAGATGTTTATTATTTCTTTACATATTTTTCATGGATACATTTTGGTGTCTGACATACTATATTGCTTTTCATCTTTAAAGTAAACATCCTTTTGCACTCTAAAGCAGCTTTATCCACACGGAGTACTGTTTCCTTTAGATCCAATTAGAAGATAATGTTGAATTACAACCCACATATCTTCAATTATCTAATCACTTTCATGGCAATATAAATTATATTAACTTTGTTATTACAGGGAGCATAGTCACACTTATTAACAGAGCTTTTATCATGTTTGAGGGAAATCAGGGTTCATTTTAATAAAGCTACATGTTGGTTATTTGTTATTTTTCCCTTAAGCAGTGTTGGATATTAATTTTTAGACTATTTCTAAATATTTTCTCTTAGACATTGTTGCTATAATATGATGTTTAAAAAGCCTTTCACTGTAAAATATTTGATTTAATGTTTTTTATAGAAAAAATGCAAAAGTTCAGAAAAGGGGTAAAATCAACTTGATTGGACGCTTGCAGCTCACTACAGAAAGGATGAGAGAAGAAGAGAATGAAGGAATAGTTCAACTAAGAATACTGAGAACCCAGGTTTGTAATATTAAGACACAATGTCTAAATTTTGAAAAATGTTGTTTTTTTAATCTTCAAATCTTTTTTTAAAATTAAAGGAATGTAGGTACTCACACTTTTCGTGCAGAAGAGCTAATTTTCAATTTACTGAAATATAAAAATTGTATTAGTAACATTCTCTTAGTTGTGCAAAGAGATGTCTATATGACTTGGTGGTCTCTGGTAGGTTCTGTTGGTTGGGCAGAAACCTTGGTTTTAGGTTATGCTTCTCTGACTGCATGTCAAAGAGGATAAATGTATATCAGCAACAAGTACGATTCTAGGATTGAGTATTTAAAATTTAATTTTAACACTTCTAATTCCATTGTAATGGGAAATTAGGGACACTAAAAAACGTATTTTAAAACTAGGATTATACCTTCTGAACATGATAAAGAATACCTATTGCAAACTAATGTATGACTGTTTTAACTTTAGAAATAGTCTTATTAAAACCAAGTAGTTCCACTTTTACTGTTTTCATTTAATATTGTTTGAAACTATTGGCCAATGCAGTCAAGCATGAAACAAAAAAGAAGAAAAGATTAAAATTTTTCACTTCTTGTAGATCATATAATATGATAAAGGAACAGAGAAAAGATAAATAAAAATCAAATGCTTTTCTATTTAGCAATAAACAAATAAATAAATAAATTTAAGAAAATAAAAGAAGAAACCATAGAATTCACAGGCATTTCTTTAAAAAGCAGTGTGTTGGACCTGTATGAAGAGAGGGGCCTTCGCCTGAGAGATTCAAAAGGAGATTTGAATAAATAGAAAGATCATGTTCCTTTTTTTCTTACTAAATTTTTTAATTGAGGTATAACTTACATATAATAGAATACATATTTCATAGTTTTCAGTGTGTTTTGCTAAATGTGTATACATGTGTGACCATCACCTCAATTAAAATACAGAACATTTCTATCACTCCAGCAATTTCTCCATGTCTCCATTCAGCCAATCTCCACCTTCAACCCACCTGATTCCTATCACCGTTGCTTTGTTTTGCCTGTTCTTGGTCTTCATATACATGGAATCAGACAGTGTACTCTTTGTATCTGGCTTCTTTTTAACATGAAATACCATTTGTTGTTGTTTTTTTTTTTGGCTGCTTTGGGTCTTCATTGCTGCGTGCGGGCTTTCTCTAGTTGCGGAGAGCAGGGGCTACTCTTTGTTGCAGGGCGCAGGCTTCTCATTGTGGTGGCTTCTCTTGTTGTGGAGCACAGGCTTTAGGCACACAGGCTTCAGCAGCTGCAGCACACGGGCTCAGTAGTTGCGGCACATGGGTCCTAGAGCGCACGGGCTTCAGTAGTTGTGGCACATGGGCTCAGTAGTTGTGGCTCACAGGCTCTAGAGCGCAGGCTCAGTAGTTGTGGTGCACAGTCTTAGTTGCTCTGTGGCATGTGGGATCTTCCCGGACCAGGGATCGAACCTGTGTCCCCTGCATTGGCAGATGGATTCTTAACCACTGTGCCACCAGGGAAGTCTGAAATACCATATTTTTTAATGATAAGGCTGAATAACTTCCCATACTAGTAACAAGTCTACTGAATTTCATATAAAAATTCAACTAGGAATATTTTTGGAATTTTAAAAATTGATTCTCAGTTTTATCAGAAAGAACAAATAGATGAGAGTAATTGAGAACCTTAAAAAAATAAGGTGTTAATGGTAGTGGAACTTGCCTTGCCAAATATTAAAACTTATTAAAATATCTAGAAAAATAAAATAGCATAACATACAGATTAATAGAAGAAAATAGCTCAGAATTAAACCTCCTATATAAGTGTAGATGAACTTTGCAATAAAGGAAATCATTTCCATGGCCCATGAAAAGAGAATGTATTATTCAATAAGAGATTTTGGAAAATTTTACTTCTGGGAGGAAAAAGCATGATATAGTCTTAGTTTATGGCTACACCAGGATAAATACAGATGGATTAGAGTTGAGATATGAAGTGGAATGGGCAGGTATAGTCATACTATAAGATGTGCAAAGAAAATGAAGTTTTTTTGTTTTGTCTAAAACTGATTCATAATAATGCTCAATCTGCTAATCCAAGCTATCCCTTTAGGTAATGCTCAGACTTATTTCTCCCTGATTCTACTCCACCCATCCTTGTTCTTTGCTGTTTTCACAGATGGTATCTGCATATATTGAGGCTGAGAGAAATTCACTTGACTTCATAGTGACAGTGAAGGGATTGTCCTATCTGTACAGTTGTAACAGTGTTCTAGGTTTTTGGTCTTGTCAGCTCTAGAGTGCTTTATCTGTCACCTATGGGAATTTGACTTTCTATTGCTATCTATTGCTGATGTCTGTAGCAGATGAACTATGGTTTATTCTTTTTCCAGTTGGTAAGGACCACGTGGCCTCTTTCCTGTTCTGGCTGCCTGTCCTCTGCTCTTACTGAGCTCTTGAGCCCTCTGAGCCTCTGCTACATCTTCTTTGTGGCCCTTGGCCTACATGGCACACTGTTATCATCTGCTGTTACAGGATCACCCTCTCCTGACACTGAAGGCCCTGTGGCAGGTCCTTTGGCTCTAAACTCTAATCATATGGGAAGTGAGAGAAATTCAGGAGTGCAAATTACTTCCATCATATCATGCCACTTTTCAAGTGACCTCCAACCTATTAAATGGGACCAGGGCCAGAACCCCTCTGTTTTTCTCTTAACATCTCTAACACAGCCATCTTCACCTCTACCGAAGCTAGAATAGGAGAAATTGGAATATTTACAGTTGTTCCTCTCCTACTTACTGGTTTCTGTAATGTACAAGTGCCTGTAGGGGGACAGACTTTTTCCATCTTCTTTCTTTCTCTCTGGACCCTTGACATAAACCCCTGTGATCAAGAGCCTGGATCTGGACATACTGACATTGGGAGTAATTCAACTGACCTCCTAGTGGCAGTGTAGGAATCCTCATATCTGTACAGGGGAAGTTGAAGGTATACTTTTCTCACACTGAGTAGTGCCTGACTCCCAAGCCTATTGCCTTGTAGCCAAACTCCATTTTCAATGTTAAAAAGCAAATATTGATTCCCTTTTTTGTTTTCACATTTCTTTTATAATGAATTCTAACCTCCACTAAGGCAGATGAATGCCTTTTGTTGACTAAGCAGACACCTTGTACTGGAAAAGGCAAAAGAGAAAATATGTAGTAATTTTCTAATTTTCCTTATTAAAAGAATAATAATAATTAAAGAAATCATTAAGGAAGCTATTGATAAAATTGATTTAGATGAAAAGTGCTTACTCCTACAGAAAGTTAAACCATTTAATTGAGTCAGTACAAACTGAAGATACTTATAACAAGTACAGTTTATTAATCTGATAAATTTATAAAGAATAGTAATTGTTAACTTTTGAAACAGACAGCAACTGGCCTCTACTGCTATACAAAGAAGTAACTGAATACAAGGGAAAAAGTATGTGTAAGGGGTTTGTTGTATCTTAGTTGATAGTTGATTCTTAACACAATATCAGGTTATATACATATTGTGTTCACAGGTAAAATAAACTTTTTACATGTACATAGTGTGGATACGAAGGAATGAAAGGAAATACACCAAAACCTTAGGTGTGATTTTCTTTTCATCAGAGAAGTTATGGGTAATTTTGTTTTTCCTCATTTTTTAAAATCTCCATAATATGCAGATTTTATTTTTCAGAGTGAAAAAAAGATAACTGGTCTCAAGATTAATCTAGTGATTGCTAATCATTTGGATAGGTATTGGATAGAAGATAAAATACATTAAAAGTCATTTTTTGTTTTGTTTTACTTAAAATAATTTAATATTTTATTTTTTCTTTTAGGAAGCTATCATACAAATAATGAAGATGAGAAAGAAAATTAGTAATGCTCAGCTGCAGACTGAATTAGTAGAAATTTTGAAAAACATGTTCTTGCCACAAAAGAAAATGATAAAAGAGCAAATAGAATGGCTAATAGAGCACAAATACATCAGAAGAGATGAATCTGATATCAACACTTTCATATATATGGCATAATTTTGAATATCATGGACAGTATTAAGAACCAAAATTTTGGAGTGCTTGGGCAGAAAGTTCTTGCAGTTTGTGCTAGAGGAAGGTTTATTTGGACTTTGGTTACATAAATATTAAAATCTCTGCCTTACCTAACAAAACAACTATATTTTGCCAATCACATTAGTTAGCATGGTGGCATTCCCTTCATGTTGCACACTCTGTTTTAACAGCATGCCGTTTTGTGGAGAAACTTGCATTCATGAAGAGCCCATGATGAACTTTTAAAAATCTGATTTATACCCACCGGAAGAAATACAGTTGGGAAGGGTGAAAGTGGGGTTTTTGTTGCTTTTTTTTTTTTTCTTTTTTTTTCTTTTTTTCCTCTCTTACAAAAATGTACTTGCACAAGGAAGGATCTTCAGATGTTTGTGTGCTGAAAAATGCTGTTACGTTTTGTTTTAAAAAATGCAATTAAAACTAGAAATAGCACTCTTGGTTTCTTTTGATCAAAAGAGTGAGCTGGTCTACACAACATTGGGACAGGGCAGATATAGGTGAAAAGATAAGTTTATAATAGTATCAAACTATATGTTCAAACACTGCTTCAGTATCACAGCTGGATTTTAGTGGTGACTTAAAAATGGTATTAAATTTTTCCAACTAAAAAATGTTGGCTTTCTTTAAGCAGGAGACTACTGTCTTAGTTGTTTATTGTTAAATGATGAAGAGTTTTTTAAATTTTACATGGCTAAGAGAGCTTGTTTTGAAAAAGTGAAGCTCATATTAATTATTATTTTAATTGTTTAAAAAAATGTATGGAGATAGGTTGGTCGATTGCAGAGTCAAAACAGCAAAATAAGCATATTAAGTGTTTACTAAGACACTTAGTATTTATATACTTAATATTTATTATGCCATATTCAAATTTATTAAAAACAAGACAGAAATCTCCTGCTTTAATATAATACAGTTATGTAACTGACCTCTTAATCTGTAGCATAGAAATATTTTGAAATTTTAAAGTCTCATGATTAGGGATTTATAACCTCAGGTTTCTGGAAAGGAAGACATTCTGTTTTAAAAAGTAATAATTAGGTATCAGTCACCTAGGAGGAAGAGAAAAACCACAACATAGACCTGAAAAGCATAAGCAAAATTGTTGCAATCTTAATATGAGCAGTAAACTTGCCAAATATATGTACATATATATTTATATATTTTAAAAATAAGCATTTAAAAAATGTTCAGAAGGCAACACTTACCTTGTTCCTTTTAGTCAATCCAAAGTAGCAACTTACTAGTTGCTGGCAACTGAATACCCAGAGTAATGGAGATTTTAGGACTTGAGGACATGAACAACTTAAAAGAGAAAAACTTACTCCCCTTTGGGAAAGAATGGCTCAACATGGATTTTATTCATTGTGGTGCACATTTCAAATTTTCTTGCAAATTATTTTATATTTTATTTGATATTAAGTAATATTTAAAATTATTTTGATGATAGTAGGAAATGGAGTGCCAGAGTGTTGAAAGGCGTACAGTATTACTACAGAGTGCTTTCAAGAGCATTTCATGGAATCTGTCCCCAATCCCAAGAGGCTTTGTGAGCTGCCTGCTGAAAGGAAGGACAGCAAATATAAAACATTTTTAAGGTTTTGCTGGCTATAGTCAAAGGCCTATTCTGAAACTCATAAGAAATTGGAATTTTGTTTCTAATTTAAAATCTTACATTTGAGCTCTAAGGTAGCATATGTCAGTTATTAGACCAAGCATATTGTGAAGATTAAACTAAATTAGCACTCACTGTTTTCTCTAATTAGATGACTGTTAACAATGGATAAATTCAAAATTTTTAAAAACTGATAATTTGGTAATAATTGTGGCCCTTATGTTTAATAAATAGTTTGGTATTGGCATATTTGCTTATCTGATAAAGGAGCGCCAAAGGAGGAAGCAATGGAAAGAAAAATTACAGGCCATTTCTTAAAGTTTAAGATTTGTTGTTGTTTTAAACCAGAATAGTTCTCAGAACTTTTTTTGGAATTTCTAATCTTTTTTTAGTCATTTAAGAATGAGAGCCATGATGTTTTGATTTACAAAGGCAAATTTAATGCAAAAGTGGGTAACTCTAAATCCATAGCAAAGTTTTCTAATAATTTTATAAATTTTTAAATTGCTAATTATGTCCTAATTGTATTTTGGGGAATAGAACAGCAGCAAATACTGTAGACTTACAGTTTTCATCATTTTGTTCATTATGTATACAAAAGTATATCTGACTACTTTTTGGTGTTTATGAAAACCATTTAGTTGACAAGGTGCCTATACCATTGTTGAATTTTCTTTAAATATATTTTGACAACAGATTTGCTAATTTAAAAAAAAAAAAGGATCTGGAAAAAAAACTACCAGCAATTTGCTAAAGATACAGAATCACAGTTAGTATCCTTTATTACTAAGTCCCTTTTCTCTAATGTGCACTTAAAATTAGTGCTATCTGAGCAGGGATGAACTCTGACATAGTTAAGGGGAAAAATATATACATATATATGCATATATTTTTTTCATGAGCAGTATGGCAATAGGACACTTCAGAGGTTAAGATTTGAACATTCATCTTCTAATATAAAGGTGGAGCCATCTTGAAAATGTTAACCTTTATTGCCATCTCATTGCCAGAGTAAGTAGATATGAAACAAAACTTACAAAGTGAAAATACAGAACAATTTTAATGCTTACAATGAGTTAAATATTTAGAGTATTACTGTTCTAATGATTTAATGAGTATCTTGAAATAAATTCTGAAGTCTTCCAATTTTTACATTTATTGGAGGGGTCCCTGCATTCTGGCAAACTTTATTTAAGTCTCTTTCTCTTATTTTGTGCATAAATGTTAAAATTTCCAAAAATGAAATGTTAGCTTTCTTATTTTTACCTTTTATTAAATTTAGTACAAACTATGACCGGAGTAGTTTAAAAGTATTTTGTATTATTTGCAGTAGGATGTCATTGGCCCTGCTCAAAGGGCAAATTTTAAAAATTCAATTTGGGTGAAAGTTTTGCTAGTTTTCCAGAAAGATTTGCTATCTTAAACTCAAGCTTGTTTTTTCTATTTTCATGTAAATGACTGGGATGCTATCTTATAAACTCTTCCAATGTCATGTTTGTGAAATAAACATTACAATGAGAGCTTTCCTGTCATCTACACTATATATGTTGTCTGGAGTGTTGAACAAATTTGAGTTCCTAAGTTGTAATCTATCCTCGTATATACAATTTTGAATGTGTGCCACTACATACTGAGATGATAATGCTGTACAATTTTAAATGGTAGCAGTTTCTGTATGCAGTAGGCTGAAATATTTTGATGAACTGCTTAATTTTTGGATTTTATTTTTTAAGTTGTATAATTTATTTTCTTGCAAAATAAAAATGTAATATAAAAGCTTTCACCTATCAAGAAAATGTTGATGTTCTACTGTAAAATAGTTTCTAAGAGTTTAGTTAAAATTTTTATAACAGGTATATTTATATATTTAATTGTGAAATAGTAAATCTTAGCCAGCCTTAGGAATCAGAAATATGAAAAGTAACCCACTTATTTCTTTTAAATTTCAAAATCTAGTTCAAAATGAAAGCTAACAGGAATGTAGCTTTTCCATTGATGATGGCATAGGGCTATCATGCCTGGAAGAGGTCAAAATTTTCAAACCTGAAAGTAATTAATGCATTCATTAATCCATTTAGACAGGTCATGTCATAACCAAAATTTAAATTTTATATCAGACAAAAGTAAAAAATATATCACAAATTATTTCATGTTTTATGTATTTTTGGAAGTTTGTGAATATTTAAATTTCAAAGCTAGAGATAGTTGTAATAAGGTTACGAAGATGGACTGTGTCTTAGTCTTGGTGGTTGTAACAAAGTACCATAGACTGCATGACTTATAAACCAACAGAAATTTATTTCTCATAGTTCTGCAGGCTCAAAGTCTGAGATCAGAGTGCCAGCATGGTTGGTTCTGGTGAGGAACCTCTTTCAGGTTGCTGCTGACTTCTCACTGTGTCCTCACATGGCAGAAAGAGGGTTTAGAGAGCTCTGGGTCTCCTTTATAAAGGCACTAATCCCATTCACAAGGGCTCCACTCTCATGACCTAATTACCTCCCAAAGTAAATGCCCCACCTACCAATAACATCACATTGGGGATTAGGTTTCAACATAGGATTTTTGGAGAGAGACAGACATTCAGTCTTTAGCACTTCATAATGACCCTAAAATCAACCTTGGACTTTCTGGGATTTGGAGGTGGGGGGAAATTGACTTGGAAATGAAGGCAGAGAAAAGTGTGGCCTCAGTTTAAGATTCCCCAGAACGTAGAAACAGGTTAGGCATAGAAACAGGCAGAAGCTTCTGGGCCCCTTACTTGCCCATGTCTCCCAAGGCGCTGGGAGGGGCCCTAAGAGTTTTGTATGTGTGATTTATATTATTTTTCTCAAAGAGAATCCCCTAAATATCCAAGGTTGAATCCAGTCCTGCTAAAACTGAATGCAAAAAGAAACGTGTCTAGCACACAGAAGGCATTCAAGTGTGGATTGAATGAATGAGGTGTGTGTGCCTGAGAACAGTAGAGTTTAATCCTTTGTTTTAAATGGGAAGAGTTTATTTTCTAATTGCCTATTCTAGACTGTAAAATCAAATACGGACTTTGCCATGTCACTAAACTTCTATTTTAACCAATGGACAGTCTGGAACAGGGGTCTTAGACTGTTGAGGAGTTACAGACTTTTATGAGCGTCTGATTAAAGAAAAAGACATGCATATAAAGATACGGACAATTGTGTTTATAAATTTTAAGTATTCCAACACTCAAGATTAAAAATCTTTGATAATGAGATCCCACAGTGAGTAAAGAAAGTAAGTAGCAGCCTGCTCTCTGAATTGGTAACAGCTTAATGTCACAAGTGCTGATTCAAACTTAGATCTATACTAGTTTTTGTCTGTTTTTATCTAAAGAATGACAGGAGACTTCCATGGGTGTTATTGGGGTTTGCTATTTTCATTAATGATAAATGCAGTATTTTATTATTGTGGTTGCTGAAGCAGACTGATACTACTTAGATGTTTCTTTGACACTGGTTGATGGTTGAAGGGTAGCAGTGGGAACCAGGAAGGCAGAGAGGAAAGAGCCAACTTTGCAACAAGCCAGGTTTGAAAATTAACACTCCTGTTAAGAGACCACAATTATCATACCTCTAAGAAAGGGTGGGGCTTGGGACTACCTTTACAAGGCCCTTTTCCTATGGCTGCTAGGTGTGTAATTTTCTTGCCCCCTACTCTACCTTACCTCTTCCATTCTCAGCAGATGACCTTACTTTGGGAATATAAGCAGAGAAAATAAAATAAGGCTTTCAGGCATGCACTTTCATAACTTGCTTTCTCTACCTCTAAACTTTACCTCTAACAGTGTCCATTTTCATCTGCCTACCTATCTCAGAGGAAGGACTGCCTCACTCCTTACTCGAGGCCAACTGTTTTTTTTATCTTTTCCTGAATTCCTTCTGCTTCTGTGTTTTGCTCCAGAATACCTACATTTCCTGTATCTTCCAAACATCTTTTTATTAGTTATTTCCTCCTTAGCCTCCAACAGGGGTTCTCAAAGTTTTGGTCCACAGACCAGCAGCATTATCATCACTCAAGAACTTGTTGGAAATGCAAGTTTTTGAGCTCCACCCCAGACCTACTGATTCAGAAAGTCTTTGTCGGGGGGGCGGTGTCTCAGCGATCTGAATTTTAATAAGCCTTCCAGGTGATGCTGATGCACTAAAGTTTGAGAACCACTGTCTTACAAACATTCAAGTATCCGCCATCCTTAAAAAAAATGCCTTCCCCTACCTTGGTCAAGTTATGACCCTTGTTTTCCTCCTTCCTCCATTTTCTGCTAAACATCTTGAAAGAATAGTCTACAATCTGTCTCTATTTCTTCTACTTAGTACTCATTGGCTTATGTCCCCACTGGTCCTCTTGCCAAGGTCATCAGTGACCTCCTATTGCTTAATCAGAAGCTCATTTTCAATCTTCCTCTAACTTGACCTCCTTACAGCATTTGCACCTTGAACACTCCTGGTTATTGAATTTTGTTCGTCTCTTGACTTCAAAGATACCATTCTTTCCTGGTCCCACATTTATCTCTCAGTTTTCTCAGTCTCATTCTCTGGCTCTTCCTCTGCCTGCACATCCCAGAATTTCATCTCCATTTCTACTCTTGCTGAGCTACATACTCTTCCTGGGTAATTTTATCTACCTCTGTGGCTTCAACCACCGTCTGCATGTTGATGCTCCAGACTGTCTGCAACTGCTTGCAAGATCAACATGTATTTCCAGGTATTTCTTGAACATCTCATCATCCATCACAGACTTGCTCCACTTAATAACTATCTCCATCTTCCAGGTTAGCAACCTTCATTTGACTGTCTATTGACCCCCTCCCCACACCACATTATTGATTCTAGTTATGTATTGTCTCTAGAATCTGACCTTTGTTCGCCTTTACTTCTGTGTTCACTGAATGAATAAGAACATTTCATAGTATGCTTATACTAGGTGAAGTAGGTAGGGACTAGCTGTTGGGTTGCTTCTTAGCCTACGTTTGGAAGTAGACTAAGTGTACTGAGTGATAAGTAGTGGTCAGTAAGATTACGTTTGCTTTAAATCTGTGGCATTTCTGGACCACTGTCCTAGCTCTAATTTTTCTCTTAATTGAGCTCATACCTCAGTGTCTGAGGCCTAAGACAGCAGCAGATGTAAATTGGGTCATTCCTTTTAGCCTGTGGCTGAGGAGCCACTCCAAATCTAAAACATAAAAGCAGGAAAAGGACTTTCATCATTTAAAAAATTTCCCACATTTTTTAGTGCAGTTCCTTGCTCAGTTAGGGGCCCCACTACTTGTAAAATTGAATTGAAAGGCTTGGGAGCCACTGTTGAGCAGACCTCCTAAAGGTGGAGGAACATGTAACAAGCCCAAAAGTCATTCTTGGGACAAGTAGGACTTCTGTCTTACACTTACTAAGAACTTCCTAAAATATCTTCTTTTGTATCTTTTTGTTCTAAACCCCAAGATAAATCATATGAAAGTTATTTTTAGGAACTCTCTTCTGTTGCGCCATCTTTCATTACAATGAAAATGTAATCATTTTCTTGTTGAATACCTGTTGTCAAATGACAAAAATAGGACAATTTAATAATGAGTTTGATATCCTTTATTCAAGGGAAAACTTGTACTCCCCATGGATTTGGGGGAGTACAGTGCCTCACAAGCAGCGGAGTACTCTTCCTGAGGGATTTGGGGCAAGAGCGAGTTTTATAGAGCTTTAGAAGTGGCAAAGTGGAAACAGCATGATTGGCTAGGAGGTCAGGGATTTCCTTATAAGGATAGCAGGTCAATCAGGGAATAAGGAAAGAGTATTTGGCTTAGTTAATTGTCTGAGTTTGCATATCTGACCTTACTTAGAACAAAGAAGTTATTACAAATTCTTGGCAGTTGGGGGTTGGCTGGTTTGATATACTCTATTTCTGGTCAGGTGAAGCATTTACAGGGACATGAAAATTATCTAAGTTTCAGTTTGCTGACATGGCACCCTAGGCAGGAGGAGCTTCACCCTGGGCTTGGAAAATTATTTCAACAATGGGGTACAAACATTTCTAGATATCTGCTAAAGAAGCTCTTGACACTGTCCTTCCCAGGATTTCAAGAAAGGAGATGTTTTGTGGGGTATATAATTAGGAAACATAAGGAAGTGACATGTAATTTGACTCAGGATGACTATATTAGTTTCCTATGGCTGCCATAACAAAATACCACAAACAAATTTATTTTCTCACAGTTCTGGAGGCTAGAAGTCTGAAATCCAGGTGTTGGCAGGGTTGGTACCTTCTGTAGGGTCTAAGGGAGAATCTATTCCATGCTTCTCTCCTAGCTTCTGGTGGTTGTTGGAATTCCTTGGTGGTTCATTTTTTGTAGGTGCATCACTCCAGTCTCTGCCTCCTCCACATGGCCCTCTCACTGTGTGTGTCCTTTCTTGTTATAAGGACACCAGTCATTGTATTTAGTTAAGGACCCACCCTAATTCAGTATGACCTCATCTTAACTTGATTACATCTGCAAAAACCCTATTTCCAAATAAAGTCATTCACAGGCAGTATTTGTGGGGGACACTAGTCAAGCTAGTACAACGAGTTATTCCAACAGACTAACTATGATAGAAGTTACTTGTTATAGAAGAATTTAATTAGAAGTGAATAACAAATATCCTTGTATTGTGAATCGAATACATGCATTTTTTCTAAACTCTTAAGAAAATTGTTTATTTTCCACTTTGTTCTCTGCTATGAAAATATTATTCTAATGTTCCTAAAACTAACTTATACTTTTAGAAAAGCACTCTGGGGCTTATGACTATAGTTATGGACATTTATAAAGAGGAAGAGGCCAAAAAGTTTATTTTATCAATACTGATAGTATACTTTCCAAGACATAAGACTCCACTTACACTTATTGGCTAGATCTCTAACAAATGTAGTTAACTTAGAATCCAAGATGAGGTACATTTCGAAAGATGTAGTCTTTATTAACAACTCTATGTCCAGACACTGTGTTATCTAATGTGATAGGAATGATAACTTGAAGCTACAAATTCAGATATGCAAAAAAAAAAAAAAGCTTTAAATTCTCTCTAAACTGGACTTAATTTTTTTTTTTATTCAAACACTTCATTTCTATCTCATGGAAGAAATTTTAATCTAGTCATTTTCACCTAAACTCAGTCAAATTCAGTTATCTTTTCATAAATTTTAAGTTAAAGGTTTGTCACTTTCAGGATTGTTCCCTTCACCCCTTCTATCTTGGGTATGATATCGTCCTGGTCTGCCTCATATCCAGCATGGTAACGCCTGTATGACTTGTATGGTGAGGGCCTCTTTCCCAACAGTGGAGCCTCTTGAGGATCACCAGCTCCAGTTCAGCTAACTTCTGTACTCTTCACAGCTATAACAGGAAAATCACCCATTTAGCTGTATGGGGGGGCTCTTTGGGTCATGGGGAATTTCTGTGAGGCTACCTTAGGCTCCTCATATCCAAGCACCCTAAGCAATCTTCCATTTAACCTCGAGTGCTCATGTGGGCTACCTTTTCAGACAAGCTGGTTTGAATCAGGGAACTGAGATCTACTCTCCGTCATACCACTGAATTTATTCTGTGTGTGTGTGTGTGTGTGTGTGTGTGTAGAGGGGATGATTCTAACGTCACATTCCCCTGTGGCTGGGCTGCAGGAGGAGACAGAGATCAGGGACACTCCTCAGAGGCTGATCCTCTGGCTTCCTCTCCAGCTCTAGCCTTTCTCCCCTGAGTTCTACTTAACTAGTATTGGATAGGGGTAGGAAAAATGGATTTCAAATACTTGTTGTCTTCTACCTGAACTGTGACTTTAGAATTCTGGAATAAAAAGTTTAGTGTCCTGTTGTCTGTTTGCTTTGGTTCTGCTTCCCCTCAGGGTGGTTGTGGCTTCACATCCGGGGTGTGAATGGGGATTATCACAGATGTATAAAGAAGTGGAGGTGGAGGGTCCAGCGTGACACAGCTCACAGCATAATCTGATTCTCTGCTACCTTTCTTTTTATAATTCTTGCTCCATCTACTTTGGTGAGTCCTCTTCCTCCACCTAAATGCAGGTGTTCCCCAAGTTTCTTTCCCTGTAGACTCTTTGGGTAATTTCATCTATTTAATACCGTCAACAATTACTTCTTTGCCCTAACTCCCAATTCTATGCTTTGAATGGATTCCTAATTAAATTTTTTGGATAAATGTAAATAAAGATCAGAATTAGATTTTATTTATTTAGGAGTCTAAGTGTAAGCCACTCAAGTGCTACAATTATTCTTGTTGCAGTGAATTTCCCTATTTTCTTTAAAAAAAAAACTTGACTTTCCAAATTCCTAGATTCTTAAATGAAATTATTAACTACATTTTGGCTGCCTTATTTTTCTGAATTTTAGTTTGAAGGGAAGCTATCTGCTGTAGCTCAGGAGTAAATTTGCTCTCCTTCCTCCCAACTGCCCCTAAGTCTCTTTGAACTTCTCTAGAAGTCATCCTGTCCAACATAGTGGCAATATTTCCTGATAGTGCTTTTGACAGCAGAATTGTCCAAAGCTGAGCCCTGTGCTTCTAAGGCAAGTCTCTCGTAAGGCAAAACTAGTGTAGAGGTTAAGAGCCTAGTTCTGGCAACCAGACAGCCTGGGTTCAAATTGTAGCTCTGTCACTAGTTACTTGCTCTGTGACCTTGGACAATTTATGGAATCTAAGTTTCCTCATCTATAAAATGAGTAACAAAGCTCCCTAATTCATTGGGTTTTTGTGAGGATTAAAGAATTAAACAGTGAAAGAAATGCCCCATACTAAGAACTATGTAAGGAGCTATTATTATAACCAGTCATCTTTTGCTGTTTGTTCACCTAGTGTATTTATTAGCCTTGGCCTCTGTTTATTAGGCCAGACTAGCTGTTTAATTTTCTCAGTTATTTCTTTAAAATTCAACTTTTTCAGATCAAGATGTGATATATCTTGTACACTTCACACACATGCACAAACACACACACACAAACACAACTTCAGCACTGGTACACATTGTAATGATTTCCTTTCATAGCCATTAAAGCAGTAGGTACGATAAAGTTTGTGCTTGGCCTACAGTAGGGTCAGCAAGAGAGAAGCCTTGAGTGTGACATTCAAAGGAAGTAGGCAGGACTTGGTGACCTATTGATTATAGAGGATCTGGTAGGTGAAGGTATTACACACCACTCTAAGGGACCAACCTAGGGTGATTGGGAAAGTAAAGATAGGGGTGCTGTATTTATCTATTGCTATGTAAAAATGACCCCAAAACATAGTGGCTTAAAAAAACAATAGCCATTTATTTTCTCTCGTTTCTGTGGATCATGAATTCAGACAGGGCACAGGAAGGGATGGCTGGTCTCTGCTCCGTGATGTCTGGGGTCTCAGCTGGAAGGTTGAAGGCTGGGACTGGAAATCATCAGAGAGCTTTTTTTAATCCATATTTCTGGCTAGGCCTAGCCTGGGAGGTCACATACCTCACTTCTGTGATACTCCATGGTCAGGGCAGTCAGTGTTCCCTCCCCAGATTCAAGGGGAGGGAACACCGACCCCACCTCTGGTTGGAGGAGTGAGCAAGAGTCATATTGAAAGAAGAGCTTGTAGGGTAGGCTAATTGTATGATTAGGCCACCCAAGATGGCTGTTCTCTTGCTCTCTGTACATCCCTCAACCAGACCCTGCTTCACCTATACCCTACTCACCTGACTGACCTTCCCTCTTATTCATAGAGCCTGATCAGTAAATGCCTACCTACTTGCCCTGGCCCCAGCTAGTGAGTGTTGTAATCTTTAAATCAGAACAGTTCCACAAAGATGGTTTATCAAAGGGGCAGTGAGGGTTGTCTCCTCTGCTGGTTTCCCTGGTAACTGATGAGGCAACCTGATATCAATTCCCCCGTAACAATTCCCTCTTCTTCCGGTAGGGAAGACTGTTGCCACTGCCAGCCTGCCATCTGCTGCCAACAATGGTGTGTCTCTCCAGGACCCTCTTGCTTTGGGTGTAAGTAAGATCCCCTATCCAATAAACCATTGATGTCTCTGTCGCTAACTCTGGATTCTTTCCATCTTGAGGCTGGGCAATTACAAACTTTGAAGTCCTGCTGGGGTGCAGCCCAACACTAACTTTTGGTGTGGCCAACTTTGAAAAATACAATCTCCCACTTGTTACAAAACATAATTAAGGGTGGGGATTTTACTTTAGGAAAAACCTGGGTTTGGCTTGGAGTAAGTAGGGTTAAAGTGCTCACTTTGTGTGTTGTCACTCCCATCTTCTGTATAAAGTAAGTATAGGGAATCCCCTGGTGGTCCAGTGGTTAGGACTCCGCACTTTCACTGCTGTGGGCCTTGGTTCAATATCTGTTGGGGAACAAAATCCCACAAGCCACTTGGGCAAAAAAAAGCCAAAACAACAACAACAAGCAAAATTAAAGAAATAGAACAAAATTAAATAAATAAATAAAATAAATATAAACGAAAACAATGTTACAAAGTCACAAAAATTTGCTGTCTCCAGCTGAAGATCCAAAATTAAGCAGTGGGTTCCCAAAACGTGAGAACATCATACCTAACACATCATTCTCTGGAAATAGGTACAGGAAAGCAATGCCATGTAATGCTATCAGTTCAGACCCCAGCTCTACCACTTTCCAGGCCATCATGGAAAAATAAGTTAACTTCTTTGTAGCTCAGTTATCTCATTAGTTAAGGGTGGATAATAATAGCATCTAATTCATGGAGTTTTTGTGAAGGTTAATATAATTTTATTAATTGTTCAAAGTTAGGCATTAATGTTTCCTATTCCTCTTCTTCCTCCTACTAAGAAACAATTGCAAAATTATCTCATCATAAATGAAAAGCTAACTGGATTGCTTGAAAATATTTTCATGAATTTCCTTTGTGCTTTGTGGGTACTAAGTGAGAGAGGCAGGCCCAGTGAACAGAAAAGGCCCAGGTTACACATAAACCACTGGTCTCAGAAGGTCAGAAGTAGTGGAAAGGGGACCTAGCACCTTATCAGCAGACTTCTAAGCCAGCGCCTCCTTCCACGCGCCGCTCGGGCGTCCCAGCGCCAGGCTCCGCCCCTCCCCTCCTCTGCTGCCGGCCAATGGCCGCCGGCCGTCGCGGCCCGAGGCTGCTATTGGAGGAGGCGGCCAGGTCGGCGGTTGAAGCGGGGTCGGGGACCCGCCGCTCGCGATCACATCTCTCCGCTGGTATCTGTCCGCTCGGCGCTCGGCCACCATGGCTGTGCTGGCGGCGCTTCTGCGCGGTGGCGCCCGCGGGCGCAGACCCCTGCTTCGGAGGCAGATGCAGGTGAGAGGGACTGGAATTCGGGCCTCGCCTCGGAAGTCTTCTGCCGGCGGCCTCGCGGCCGGAAGGAGCCCTAAGTGCAGGCCTGAGGAAGCCCCCGGAGGGACCCACGCCCCGAAAGCCACGCGCTCAGACTTGCCGGCTCGCACAGGGCGTTTCCATTCTCAGGGGCTTTCCCGGATCGTGATAATTGCTTTCTAGTGTGTCAGGTGGGGCAGGTATTTTGACAGGCAGAAAGGCGCGGGCTTGGTTCTGACCTTGCCCGACGGGTAGGGAAGGCCTGTAAAACTGTTTTCGAGCTTTTCTTTAAAACATGTTTGTGAGCGTTATTGTCAAGAGATTTTGATTTCATGCAATAGGTAATCATTATGGGCTTACAGGGTGATAATAAAAAGGTGTACCGACTCGGAGCAACTTCAAACCTATAAGGGAAAATAAATGGCTACTCACTTTCTTGATGAGTAATGCTTACGTATTAAGGGCGTCCAGAGCCGTGTTTCTCCTCTGGCTGTTGTGTTTAGGGAACACAGGAGCGACAGCGTTGAAAGAATCTACTATTTTCCGTACATCAAAGCAAGCTAGCTTGCACCACATGTTTAGGGCCTGGCAAAAGCTAAAGAGTAGGTAGAGAAGTTAAGGGTGTGTGGTTGGTGAAGCTTGACTTTTCCAGCTTGGTTGGAGCAATAAAGTTTGAAATCCAGTCATATTGTAAGAGTTTGGATTTGACTTAAGTCAGTGAGGACCGTTGATATTTTTGCTCTTGTCATAATTAGAGGTATAGGAGCATTGAAGTGGGGAAAAAACTATTGTCTGTTAGGTGTGATGTAACTTGAACTGGTGTGTTGGCAGTAGGAGCTGAAAGGGAGGAGCACTATGCAAGAGATTGTGAAAGAATAAGTGTAGAACTTGACAAATGCAGAGTGAGGGTGGGAGCCAAGGGAAAAGGAAGAGTCTAAAATTAATCCTGGGTGACTGAGATAATAGAAAAGTCAGGAGGAGTGGGTTTCCAGGAAACATGAGTTCTTAGCATATTTGTTAGTATGTCGGAAATCACAAAAATGTACTTGGGTCATCCTGAGTTTTAACCAACATTTATTGGTGAATTAGGTGAAATAAGTACTCTAATTTTGTAAAAAACAAAACAAAACATAAACCAAGTGCAGAACCCTCTTAATTTATAGTTTAACTGGGAGCTTAAAATCAAACACAATTGTTGCTGATGAGAAAAATGAAGTTGTAGGTTATGTAGCATATGATTTGTGGTGTTCATTTAATTGAGCTCTAGGAATTAGTTGTATTGGTTGTTACTTGAATTAAGTGGTCATTTAATGAACCAAGGAAATCCGTTTGTCTTAACAGGTTTTCAATATTCAGTGCCATTTTGTGGAATGGAACTTGATCTCTAACCCATTAAACTGGCTTTTTCTCTTTTGCCTTCAAATACACACAGGTCTCCCTTACGGTCAAGAAACCTTTATGGACTTTATCAGAGCTTGTTGCTTTCCAGCTGGAATTGCTTTTTTCTTATGGTCAAAAGAGTAGTCCTCCTCGTCACCTTCGTTTACATCCATTTCTCCTTAAACCTTTGCAGTTAGATTTCTGTACTGCTCAACAGAAGAATACCAGTGATTTTCTTTTCCTGTATTTTTTCTTCTTCTTCTTGACTTTTCTTTGTACTATATTTGACACTTTTGACCATTCCCTCCTTTAAAGTCCTGTCTTGCTATTTTGAACCAAGATAATTTTCCTTTAATACTCAGACTTAAAAAAAAACAACAACAAATCCTGCATTGTGCCAGTTCTGAGCCTATTTGTTCCCAGATTCATCTTCTCTTCTCTTTCTGTATTGCTGTGAGGCCGACCCTTGCAGGTGCCAGCATCATCTGGCTTCTGTTTGGGTTCAGAAACTGGTGGAAGATTGGGAGATAAGAAGGGAGAAGTCAGGATAATTATTTTTTTCCTCTATCTACCTTAGATTGTGTTTCTGACAATGTCTGCCAGTCCTTTGGTTCTTGTTTCTGCCAGGTGACCCTGACCCCTTGGCTTTGGTAACCCTGCTTCTTCCCTTTGTCTTAACAGCCTGAGCATGCTAGTGCCTTCCTGTTGCTAATCTCTGTGCTGCTGTCTCCTGTTCTCAGCTCTTCTGTCACCTGTACATTTATTTATTTTAAAATTTATTTATTTATTTATGGCTGTGTTGGGTCCTTGTTGCTGCGTGTGGGCTTTCTCTAGTTGTGTCGAGAGGAGGCTACTCTTCGTTGCAGTGCGTGGGCTTCTCATTGCAGTGGCTTCTCTTGTTGAGGAGCACGGGCTCCAGGCGTGCGGGCTTCAGTAGTTGTGGCTCGCGGGCTTAGTTGCTCCGCGGCATGTAGGATCTTCCCAGACCAGGGATCCAGCCTGTGTCCCCTGCATTGGTAGGTGGATTCTTAACCACTGTGCCACCAGGGAAGTCCCTCACCTGTGCATTTAATTCTCTGCATTAAATTCTGTTTCACATAGAATGGTTTTTATTTTCCTGGTTGAAGCCTGATGGATACTCGTGGTTTTTGCATTCCCTTCCCATTCCCTTTCACCCTGTGGAGTTTTGAACCTCAGTTCTCAGCCCTTTCTTATACAGAAAAAAAGAACAGAATGTTTTGGTAAGCAAGTAAGTGGTGATAGTGATCTGATTGGCAGTAAACACCGAGAGAAATGGATAGATTCAAGAGATAGCATGGAGATAGAATCTGTTGAACTTAATGACTGACTGGCTGTGAATGGCTGAGAGAGGAGTTCCACAGGCCTTGATGAGCCCAGCTATAGCAAGTGTGTAGACAGAGGAGAGAAGAGGGCTTTGTACAGGGCCTTTGGGAGACACTATTTCAGGACAGACAGAACAAGTGGGAACCCGTGAAGGTGAATGAAAAGAGAGGATGGTGTTGTGGAAGAAAACCAGAGGAATGTAGTGTCACCTGAAAGCCAAGGGAGGGTAGATTTCCAAGAAGGAGGGTGTATTAGTTTTCTTAGGCCATTGTAAGAAAATACCACATATCGGGCAGCTTAAAACAACAGATATGTTGCACAGTTCTGGAGGCTAGAAAGTCCGAAATCAAGTGCCTCTTCTGAGCTTCTTGTGGTTTGCTGGCAATCTGAGTTCCTTGGTTTGTAGATGCATCACTCCAGTCCTCTGTCTGCACGTGGCAATCTCCCTGTGTCTTCACTTCCCTTTCCTGCATCTGTCTCTGTGTTCAAATTTCCCCTTCTTATAAGGACATCAGTCATATTGGATTAAGGCCCACCCTAATGAACTTATTTTGACTTGATTATTTCTGTAAGGACCACATTTACAAATAAAGTTACATTCTAAGGTCCTGGGGGTTAGGACTTCTTTTGGGTGGGGCACACAATTCAACCCATAACAGAGGGAGCATTCAACGATGTAAAAATTTAATATAAGTGTTTATATAAGATTTTAACAAAGGAATTATATAAATGAAATACATAAAATGAACATATACATAAAATGAAAAGCGTTGATTGAAATTAGCATAACTGTTTAATACTTGGAGAACTTTATAAAGGCCTGAAGAAATACAGATTTGGGATATCAGTTTTATGTAAGGGAACTTTGCTTCCCCATACAGACAATAATATGCATAAACACAAGGTATTTTGAATACTAACTGCTAAATCCTCTAAGAAGTTGAAAATTTTTTTAAATGATTAATCTGTTTTCTCAAAATGTTTCCTTGATAATGGCTCAATTTCTAATTCATTTTACTGATTTTTACAGTTATTTTGGCATATGGATAGTTCTCATGAATTTGTCTCCTGTGAACAGAAATAATGAAAAATTAGTATCACTGATGACATGCTTGATTAGCGAAGAATATCATAAGCAAATCATTAATTACTCAAAAATAGTGCAGTACTTTGGAAAGAGCAGTTGCCTCAGCTTCCTAAATTTTATTACTATTTTAAATAAAATATATAATATGTATAACAAATATATAATATGCATAATATAATATGTATATATGTATAATATGTAAACTATATGTATAATAGAGTGAGACTGTTTGGATTTGAAATCCCAGGTCTGCCCCATATTGGCTCTGTGACTCTGGGCAGGTTACTTGACCTGCCTATGCTTTAGTTTCCTTACTTGTAAAATAAGAATACTAATACCCACCCATTGGCTGGTTCTATATCTAAAACATATTCCATATACATCTGTTTGTATCCACCCCTCTTGTGACCTCCTTAGCACTAGCCACATGAGCTCTTGCCTGATCTCCTTCCCTTTTTCTACTCCTGCTCCTACAATCAGTTCTCTATACTTCAGCCAGAGTGGTCTTTTTATAATAGAAAAGCCTTCAGTGGCTTCTCATTGCACAGACTAGAATCCAGAGTCCTTCTCATGGCCTCTTTAGTCCCTGCTTGTTTCTTTAGTCTCAGCTCAGACTGTGTTCTCCTGAGTATGTGGCTCCCACTCTACTGTTCCACTTTCTATACTTAGCATGCGCCAAGTTTGTTTCTAATTCAAGGCCTTTGTCCTAGTTCTTCCCAATGCATCAAATGTTGTTTTCCCTAGATCTTCCCCAGGCTGACTCTTTTTTTTAATTTATTTATTTTGGTTGTGTTGGGTCTTCGTGGCTGCGCATGGGCTTTCTCTAGTTGCAGCAAGCGGGGGCCACTCTTCATTGCGGTGCGTGGGCTTCTTATTGCTGTAATTTCTCTTGTTGCGGAGCATGGGCTCTAGGCGCGTGGGCTTCAGTAGTTGCAGCATGTGTGTTCAGTTAGTTGTGGCTCGCGGGCTCTAGAGCGCAGGCTCAGTAGTTGTGGCACATGGGCTTAGTAGCTCCGCGGCATGTGGAATCTTCTTGGACCAGGAATCGAACCCATGTCCCCTGCATTGGCAGGAGGATTCTTAACCACTGCGCCACCAGGGAAGTCCCCCCAGGCTGACTCTTTAATATTCAGTTTCTCAGCTCCAGTGACATCTCCAGAGAGCCCTCTGTGGA